AAGTGAGCAATCCTTCTAAAATTAACTCAGGTAATGATTTTACTGTAGAGCCTGCTTCAAACTGGAGAACAACAAAATGCCACCATGGCGGGTGGTTTTTTTCTTCGATGACCTAAGCTGCAGTATCAAGGGTTGAATCTATAGAAGAGGAGGAAGCTGAAGCCTTCTTTTATGTTTCTACCCAGTGCTGTTCACAATAAAACCATTAAAACCAAACTGTAAACGGTTTTACATAAACTACTGCTTGAGCGAGGACCCCCCCCACCCACAGTTAAAGATAAAGTCGCTCACATTAAGAATTCAAACGTCTGAAAGTTCTTTAAATCTGAAATTCTTCCATCCTGTTCAATAAATGATCAGTGTTTTTAATTCAGAGTAATTTTCATGTGAATGTGCTTTACTGGAGGCATCCATGTTTGTCAAAGAACACTATTGCCACCTACTGGTTTGTGACGTCACAGTGCGGTATCGGCTGTTGATCAAGTCCCAGTGCTGTATCTGGTGTTTGTCGCAACGCGCTATTATCCAAGTCATCTTGAAAACATTCTTCTTCCAAATGTTGGCTACATATTACGGGTTTTTTCTCTGGCCAGAAGTTCGATGGCAAATCCTCCCTCTTCAAGTTGGCGATCCAACGACCAACCCGTCCGTGGAGGATCAGGAATCAGAAAGGTGGAATGATTTTTTTTTCCACTTTTACCCGATGTATTCCAGCATCCAGCTGCCATGCACGTGGGCATTGTCAGTTTCACTATAGCTCTGGTGAATTTCAATGGTGAAGTCCTTTGGAAATCTTCAATAATTGTTGTTGATTGCAGATGTGTCTAGTAGTTCCCATTGATTTAGCTTGTAAAGCGGGGAGAATGGCGCTAGGCTTACCGCACCGTGACGTCACTGCTGGAAGATGGCAGGAGGGAGGGGCTACTAGATTTGGGCAAAAATGGCCGCTCCCAGACTCAGGGATCGTGAAGAAAATTATTATTTCTAATTCTTCACTGATTAACGCTAAATTTATTAAATCGTTGCGAACGTATTAGTTCTAGATATAATGATCCTTGCTGACTGGACTTTTCCTTTAAGCCCCGCCCCTTTAATTACTCCAGTCTGATGGTCTGGAGGCAGCCTGACCATCATTTCAACGTGAAAAACAAGGGAAAACAGTGAAAAGTAAAAGTTAAAAAGCTGTTTAGGTTCATTTAAATCATGTTATTTTATTTTATTTTAAGGTCACAGCTACAAATTTTCATTAAGAAGACCAATAATAATAATATCCACAGAATGTTTAGAGTGGTGCAGAAAAACAGCAAAAATAGTGTTAATTTTGGTGGGTCCAAAATAAAGAAAAATTTACTTCTAGTTACGATTCCAAAACCAACATAAAAGGATTTTGGACCAATAGAAACCACCGGTTAGACGGAGCTCAGGTGTTGCCAGCTCTTCTTAGCACGCTAACAGAGCTAAGAAGTGTTTGTTCTTGGAAGAGCATTCCTGAAACTCCACCACAAAATCAAACAAACAGAATAAACATGGAAGGCCATCAGATGCTGCTTCTTTTTCTATTTCATATTTGCCAACTGTCATGACTTCCTCTAGCAACAGCCCTAAAACATAACAGACACCTTTTAGCTGCTGGTGTTACAATGAGCTGGTGGAACCATGATCATTTGGTTAAACATAGAAACACTGTTCAGAGGATCAGAGCTAAATGAAACCACATGCTACATGCTAACACATAAGATGTTCCGAGCATCTTAAAGATGTCATTTCAAGGGGTCATAGAATGCTAAACTGAGTTTACACTGACATAGATGAATAACGATAGTTCAGCACACCGTCACCGCGTCGGGTTCGGTCGCTCCGCCCCCCGCTGGCTCCCCGATTTTGAAATTCATGTCCGGGAAACAGAGGACGTCTGGTCCCCCTACCATATCAACAATCTGATGGTTCAGTGAGTGAGTGCTTGTTGCTATGATGCGTCTTTGCTCAGCAGCTTCGCTCGTTGTAAACCAACCAATCAGAGCACAGCTCTTCTAAATATTCATGATCATACCATAAAAGGAAGAAAACCCGTCGTTTCATTCTAGGGCTTTTAACCAGGCTGCATTAGGGCTCATAGAACAGCTAATATGCCATTTTCAGCCCAACCAATGTTACACACCCTATTAGAGACCTGAAGGACCAGATACCCTATAGAATCATTCTATGTTCCCTTTAAGCTCTGATATCCGCAGTGCTGCAGTTCAAGCTAATGCTTGAACAGCGTCCACTCTCTAACACGCTGCTGTTTCTGTAGTAAACGGCTCTATGCTGCTGTTCTGACAGTCTAAGCTCATTTTTTGATTGAAGGACAACCATCCAACAAACCATTTCCGCTTCAGTATCTACAGAGTATCTACAGAGTAATCTACAGAGTTTAACTGTTGGTTTTTATGCATGTTGTGTAACTTTAAAAACTCTGAAATGTTTCCAGCACTGGCTGTACATTTTTTTTTATTATTATCAACATGTGCCTAATGCTACGGTCAGACCGCATGCTGTAGAGTCTGCAGAAGCAGCTGGTTTCCATGCAAACTCAATGGTTGATGCGCATCAAGGCGCAGCAGAAGGTCCTGTAGCGTCTAGAGCGCAGGAGCAGCGCCATATGAGCTTCTGAGCATCTGACGTATTTGACGCGCTTCACAAGCAGCAGCTGCTGTAGTTGGAAAAATTTAACTTTAGCTGCTGGACGCGCCACATCGAAATGCTAACATCTACTTCCAGCCGCCACCAACAGTAGGGGAAAACCCCCAAGAGGCGAGCGGGCCTGAGGCAGCTGCTGCTGGGGATTCCCAGTGACAGCGCAGCGCCGGTATGTGGGGGTCTGAGCGGCTCCCACAGAGAAATAATCTTTGAAGGCAGGATGGTAATCTGGATGAACTGACTGCACAGACCATGTTTTCAGGAGG